GGTGTTTCCTATACAGATGGATAGGTTCCACAGTTATACACAGGTCGAAAAGATTTAAGGTAAACAACGGAAGCTCTATACTACCATACTTCACGTACCATGCAAGAATACCATCAGGTCCACCATGATGAAACTTTTTCACTATAGTTATAACCTTCCTGATGCTGGTGGATGTAAAACCTTTGTGGAAAGATTTTTGGATGTCAACTTTAGCAATATGTCTATAAGTATTTCGGTTTCTGTATTGTTTTAACGAAAGAAATGGAGGTTGAACTGCTCACAAATTTTGTCGCGGTTGTCTACAATGGTACCGTGAATGATGAAGAATGTGGTTGTATTAGGAGAATCTAATTTACCATGGGACTTAAAAGGCCGAAATAATGAAAAGTTTGCGTTTTTATAAAGGTTGATTCTCTACGGTCTGAAGAAGCTCATGTCGATGCGATTCGTCGCTGTTATTTACGTGAGGTGAGGTCCTCACTAAAACATGATCAACACTTGGTACTATGCTGTTAACACATTACATCAAGTTATAGTATAAATCGAAAGACTCACTGTTTATGTTACTTGTTTGCAAAATACGACCCCCATCATAAACACCAAACTGAAGTTTCGGTGTGTTTCCATGTTTTTTAACTAAATTACCTACTGTGGAACTGTGTTGAACTGCAAAATGTGATAGTACAACTGTTAAAAAGGCAAGTACATTCAGCTCAACTCTGTGATCTGCCCTGAGAAAGTCATGACTGACGTGCATTGCCAGTGGGTCGAATTTTATCAAAAAATGGATTCAAGTGTATTAATTTCCCTAGTTGGCCTTGGAACCAGTAGAACCTAGCCACACTAATCCACAGTTTTAGTCAACTTATTATACCGTTGCGGCATTGAAATCAAGTTCCATGTAATGTTTGACAGGTTGAAATCTCCATCGATGATTACACGCAAGTGTGGTTGATAGGAAACGAGAGAAAATATGTCATTTATTAATTTCTTGAAGTTAGTATGTGCATGAAATAGTTGGTGTGTACGTCACACTAGTAGATATTGTTGCAACTCAACTTACAAAACCAAAATTAAGTTATTTATATCATGAGAACATTCATTCTCAAGTTTACATGTGTAGTGGAACGCTTCTACGAAGAAAATGCGATTTTTGAAATGTAAACATTATTGTACTCGCTTTGTTTAACTGTACCAAAAACACTTCTACTACTTCTTGCGCGCAACGTTCTCTTCGCGTTGCCGCCATGTTTCTCTATTTGCTGCTCCCTATGTAATGCCAACGTTCTCCTTCAATAAAACCATGGAGTATTGATTTATTTTGTTCTGCTTTTCGTGACGCGACCGTATGGAACATTAAGTGGTGAGCATAGTCAATCTGGTATCCGGACTCGCTCACTACACATGCATGATTTTTCGAGCAGACACAGATACTTTTATCACCTCCCTTTTCAATATATTCATCGTTTCGAAATAGAAATTAGATAGTTACACCTGAGAAATGGTCAGACATGGATGGTTTGCACCACATTTCCGTAATCAGTAAAATATCTTGGTTGAATAGAAATTATAGGGTGTTTAGATGACTGGTTTTGTCGGTGAGAGAGCAAGCACTGAATAAAACAATGCGAAGCTCAGACACGGCATAAAGAAACAGGTCAGCAGCAGTTCTGTGCATACTTGTGGGAGGAGACAGAGGGGGAGGGGGGGAGGAAAGCACATTTTTCACATTAGGACAACTTTCTTTTATGTTTTGGATTTCACACGAGTCGGGTAAGTTCATCCAGGATGGGATATTGAGAAGGTCAGACATCATTTCACAGTAAGACTTGATTCTATGACCCTCATCACGTGAATATGTATGGCACCCCGATGCTTGTGGTCTGTAACCAGTTTTCTGTGCTTTTTGTTGACACTGTTTCGTCTGATAGAATTTTAACATCCGCTTTTGTTTGGTTGTATTTGATAAAATCAGAAATTCACTCGCTTTCAGAGAAGCGTTGAATTTTTCAGTTTTTAGCACAAGCATGGTATGTGTGTCGTACTGCTGGCTTTTGGCAGCTTAGACTTGATAGGTTTATGAGCATGTATATCTGGTGTATTATGAAAGATGACACTACTGGATCATTGTATCATTTCAAAAACACATGAAGCTGTACTATCCATTAAACCACTTGTGACAGTAATACGTTCCAAAAATTGTGCGAGGTTGCGTTGAGAAGAAACTTTGGTGGATTTGATGTGACTCATTCAATGTCTGACTAACATGACTTGTCCGCTTGTCTTTTGACCTTATCACTCATTTGTCGCCTCTATTCATGTGTGTGCATGCCTATTTCGCTTGTTGCATGTCTGTCTTATTTTTGTCTGACTATAAATTCTCAGTCATGCTTTATCCCTCGGATTTGGCTCACTAGCCTTCTCCCATTCGCTTCATCCATTTATTCACCGATTCGCCCACTTTGTGAATGAATGAAGGTTTACAAACCGGTCAGACTAGATAACGTGGTGAGCGCTTGAACCAATCTGATTGGTTAGTTATGGCATAACTACAATTAGTTATAAAATAACTAACAGACTAGATGATGGAAATAGATATATACGTTCACATTTGTCTTGAGTTTGTCAAACTGAGATTCATACTGATTAAAAACAAAATATGCTGTTAATAAGTGAGTGTTGTATTCGAAATCCATTCTCTGTAGTTTGGGAACAAATTCTGGATATCAAGTGAACTCGAACTTGATAGTCTCCATCTAATAACAATGCTAAGTCCGACATGCTGTTAATTGGTCGGTTGATGCTATGCCCTAGAAATCCAACATTTTCTTTCTTATGGCCGTTTATCCAACCAGGTTTACGAAGCGGTGCCGGTTTTTCGTCGGAAGCAAGTAGAATATATCCCAGCCACATCAGTTCAAGAGGATTGAAAGGCGATCCGTCTTATCAATAACCATTCCGGAAATTAAGCAAATAATATTAGGCCTGCTCTGTCCGTGAGCCTGTGAAAAAATAAGTCGAGCCTACATGGCATATATTAACTTTTGGATAAACCGACTAACCTATTATTCTCCAATTATTATTCACACATCTTTTGACCTCGTCTAGTGGTCGCTTACAACTTTGGTTGTCTTTACTTGTGTGAGCGCATTGTTTATTTCGCTTGTCATTGTTCAAACTTATTTTTATCAGACCTTAAAGACTAAGACATGCTTCATCACACTGAGTAAGCTCACTTGCGTTCACCATTTCATTCCTACTTGTTTTTCTGCTTTTCATACTCATATCTTCCAGGTTAAATAGCTGCAAGAAATAGATTCATCCAGCTTAATCTGCATTTGGATTCTTATTGTCGTTGTAGCACAAAAGCGGTGGATCTAATCATGGTATATAAAATTGAAAGAAATAATTTGTTTCATAGCGTTCGTTTCACATATGAACAAGCAGAAATCAAAAGTGAATTGTTGAAAGAGTTCATCGGCATTTCTTTTTCAGAAGAGCATATGCGAATACTTACGAAGATCGAGGAACTGTTGGAGATGTCACTAGAGACGTGAGTACTCGATAATTAAATTTTGGTCTCCGCTTCATACTTCTCAAGGCAGCTGTCCTTTCAAAAAATAACTTCGTGCAGGTTCTCTTAAGCACTGTATTAGGGTATGTTTCTCTTTAAATCGATTGTAAAATTGAACCTACATTGGCTTTTCAGATGTTCGACACTGTCGAGAATACACCTGAACGGAATGACATGACTCGTAGAGTGAAAGTAATTGGGTTTTTATTCTCATAGTTTCACGTGAGCCCAGTTATACTAAGGATAAGATGTGTTAATGATATATATCAAAAACTTCAGAGACACTGATCTGCTTGGGAAGAACAATGAAAGGTTTTATTGAGTATAAGATCTATTAACTAAATGCTAAATGCACAGAGAACAAATAACCTATCACGCATCAACACAACTCCAAATAAGAACGTGTAATTCACTTGAATATATCACTGAAAACAAGGAATGGAAAAAATTCTATCTCTGTGCCTATAAAAAACATTACGGAGTGAAAGTAACTTACATTTGATACACCAGATAACATCAACCTGTCCGTATGGTGCTCAGTGAGATTGTCCAGCACAACCAGATGCTTCATTAGAACTAAATACAAAAATCTCACCAATGATGCTGCAAGTATTATTCCGCTCTTATACTTTAGGACATACATCTTAAACATGTGAGGCTTCAGTTTCACAGTAATCTAATTTCCTGAATATATGTGCTTCGAACGAAGGTCTATACTTAGGCTGGGATTTTTAGACTCATTCCTGAAATGAAAATGTGAGATGCTTTTACGTGTGTATCGCTGTATCTGCACCAATGAAAGAATCTTGATTAATAACCTTTCAATCCTGGAAAGAACTAGCGTCTGTCTTAAGTTCCATTTTTAACGCCATTTTGAGATTATAAAAGACGAGGCTGTGTTCTGCACTGGTTCTCGAAAAGCAAGTCCCTCAGCTGATTTGATTTACTTTTAAACGAATCGGTAGATTCGATCTGAATCAGGTTTCGATGCCGGAATAGTATTTGTTCAATGCACATGGGTAAGTTTTGCCAAATTCCAAAATAACATGATATGAATAAAAGCCACTTGAGAAGGATATTGTCAAAAGCCATGCAGACTACATATATAGGTCGAAACCAGAGATTAAAGGTGGTGCCTTTCTTTCTGCCTGATCTTGTCTGACATAATTTTTTCTGTGACTTCCTGTGGCATACGATTTTAGGTTATGAAAACCAGTCTTTCCTACGAATGTATCTTAGAAGTCGGAAACAACGCGAGGCTATTGGAATAGAAGGACTAAGTATCTAAACAGATCATTCGAGCAGTAACTTTGAAGAAGTTTTCTTTCCTAAAGACGAGTTCTTCAAATAGTTGATCAGCTGATTTTACTTTGAAGGCATTGAATTTCGGATCAGGAAGTCGGTTTAAACAGCTAAGTAAAACGCTGACAAACTTTCGGCGGGCTGGAGACAATTGAGATGGTATGTTGTTGCTTATTTTTCCTGTTTTCGGTTGTCAGACATTTCACTGATTTGGTCTTGTGTCATATCTTTAGTGGTTGTAAAATTGCTATTGAATTTAAGACTAAATAGTCCTCCATTTATATAGTTCCCAGTTTGTAAGTAGTCACTTAACGGAATGTTATATATTTAGGGAGTAAATACTGTAGCTTTACACACTCACTTCCTATAGACAAAATTTTAAGCTGAACGGCTGTTTTGTTGATAGTTGTGCGAACTTCGGCATATCAAATTATTATCTTGGAATATTACCGCATGAACAAGAATCGAGCGCAAATAAATTAATTGGTTTATACCAGCCCGTGAAAAAGGTATTGGATATTGGTCCAAATTTGGTAAATCAGACGGTATGGTAAAAAAGTTCACGTTAATATACAAATCTACGATTACATCGAGGTGATCCTAAATAATCCATTAATATTTTATGCGTCAGTGGCTGTGATAATTTCCGAATGCCTGAACCGAGACTAGTGATTTTCTGAGGGTGCCACACCCCGAAAATTTCACTCAAGTCTCATCTACAAGACAATGGAGCTACGTCACGAGATGCAGCCCAGTGTTAGTGCGTGAAGTGGATTCATATGCCCTCTAGACTCTGGAACCCACCAACACCACTGGTTTTTAACGAAAGTTTCGCAACTCTCCTCCGTATCTACCAACTCGGTTAAAGCATCGGATACTAATTCCTAAAATAATTACTATGTAACATGGTTCGCAGATAAAAATTGTTTAGTCCACCGAAATTAATAATAGTGGTTATTGTACTAAGTATTTTCTTATGCAGTATCGATTCAGCATACAAATAAACAGTTAACCTAATTATTTTGACGAAGTCGTTGGTCACTGACTACATTTCCGCCATTAGTTAGATCATCTTTGTAGGATTACTGAGTACAACAGTGAAGAGATTCTGGTACTTCATGCAAGTTTTAGCCTAATTACTTTCTAATAATACACCTATTTGACTTGTGTTGCGTACATTTTCCTTTATTGGGATGACAACGCAGTTAATGCGGCTCTGCCATCCTAACTTGCCTTTACTGGTGTAAAGTTAGAAGAATATAGTGATGCCGGGACCGGAACTTTCCGGTCAGTCAATTTCAATTTAAGACCTAATGTACATGAACAATGGTTCAAAGTATGGTAATAAGATTCAGTATCGGAAACTCAATCCGAAAAATACACTGATAAAAACGTCCATGGAGAATTTAGAGACGTAGGATTTAAGGGAGGACTAAAGGTTGCCGAATTTTTGCCAGTATAAATTTGCTGAGCTGTTTTCTAAAGTTTCTAATTCATGGCTATAATAGCCACCTTAATTCCGACCAGGTAGTCTACACAGCCCATTCAAATAATCTCATGAACAGGTTACTCAGTCAGTTATCAACAACATAGACCTTGGTACACACGTACATCAGTTCAAATTGCCATAACACAGCATACAAGGGTCGAATTGTTGTTTCAAATCCTATGGTAGTAGGCGTAGTAAAAGTATTATCTATAATCGAAATTAGCGATCGAAGGTATTCGAGAAGTATAATCCACTGAAATCAATTTTAAAAAAGTTGCAGGTCATGAAGAATTTATAGTTTTAGAGAGGACAAATATTGGGTGCATCTGCGGCATTGCAAACGATTTTGAGTCATATCCTTCAAAGTCACTAACTATCATTTACTATTGTTTCACGGATCCTATGGTAGTCTATACTTACATGGTCCAGTCTAGTTGTCAATGACTTCATGAATTTGTGCCCCTAGCTTTCTTACAGCCTACTCCTACATCAGACAACGTTGCTCGTCGAGGCAGTCAGTGATTAGACATAGGTAACACTCGTCCCAACTAGCTCAACGGATCAAGTTTCACCACTTCATGTATTGATCTCTCATCCTTTCCTAGTACCTGTTTCCGAACGACAGCATTGCTTACCCGGTGATCCCAGGACAGGAGTTATGCTTTTGAGACACTTATGATAGAAACTAGAAACCTACGAATATCCTTTATTCTTAATAGCCATGTCTCACTACTGTCAATAGGACAGAGCGAACTGCTGTGCGATAAACTGATCCTGTGTTTAGCTGACATGTTTCGCCTACTCCACAAGTGACGCAAGTTGGCGAAAGCTAGTCGAGCATTTTGTATCGCAGCTAAGATTTCGTCAGGCCATCAGGTCTGATGAAACTACGAAGTGAAGTGGTCAACGCGCTCAACTGCTTCACTCCCTACCACTAGTTCCCATGCTGTTTATGCTGCCTACTCCTTATCGTAGTTGGAGCTTGACGGGATTAACTTTTGTGCATCTGTCAGTTTGGTAGATACTGCTGAAATCCAGACCAAAGGACGAGTGTAATGCACAGCAGTTCACTTCGTCCTACTATATGGATGCGAAACATGGCCGGTAAGAGTAGAAGACATCCGTAGTATTCGATTATAGATGTCTTCGAAGCATTTCTCGCGTATCCTGGAACAACCGAGTAAGCAATGCAGTTGTTAGGAAACGGGTCCTAAGTAAGGGTAGCAGATCAATACACGAAGTATTGAAACTTCATCAGTTGAGGTGGTTGGGACATAGCGTATGCTTAACCACCGACTGCCTCGACAAGCTATTTTGTGGCGTATGAGTAGGTTAGAAAAAAGCTAGGGGTGGCCAGACCAAAACATGTCAGAAATCCATGAAGTCACTGACAAGTGGACTGAGCTATGTTGGTAGCTTTAGACTACATGGTTACGGTCCGTGACGACTTGGCACAAAATTGTTTACAGTGGCACAGGTGCATCCACTCTTTGTGTTTAATGAAATTCTAATCTGAATTCCTCATGACCATCTTTCTCCTTCTAAATGTATTTCACTGAGTTATACATCTTGAATAATTTCCTCGGACCCTAATCTTCTCCATTACTGCTAATACTTATACTATCTCTACTACTATGGGATTTAAACTGACGATTACCTCTGTGCTAATGTGGTATGGCAACCTTAACTTTTCTATTAACGTACGCCGTTCTACGTTGTAACTGATTGACTGACTGTATTGTATAGAACACACTGAAAATCAATAAAGATTTTGTTGTGGATTCATCACACACATCTTTTCAATTTTGCCACACACTTGAGAGGTAATTCTCAAAAAATTATATTTAAAACAGTTTATGATCAAACTATTCATAACAGCAATGTTCTTCTGTGTTTACTCAAAGAAGCTATGGCTATGTATTTGCACGTGAAATTTTATTCATCCTGTACACAAATACGTGATACTACAAGACAAAAAAATAAATATCTATCTCAGAAATAAAGCGATTAAATTGTCAAGCGAAATTGTAAACATTAGTTCATAAAACGAGATAGTTAATTAACAGTACAACCAAGGATTTCATGCAAGGGATTTCCTCGCTGGTGATTGTAAATACTACAGCAGGATTGCCATTGGAATCTATTTTAAATAATTTTCGGTAACCTCTCAAGCCACTGGGTTGCACTGTCTGCGGGACCCTTGTCATAATAAACTCATGATAGATCATTAATCCTACTTTCACACCACAATCGGATGTCGCAAACTGGTTACTGATTTTCGTACACTCTCTTTATCACTCATTTCTCAGACATAATTGATTAGACAGTCAGTCAGTCAGATGCAACGTAGAACTTTGTACGTAAGTACATCAGTTCATGTCGCCATACCACAGCAGCACAGAGATGTAATTGTCAATTCAAATCCAATAGTAGGAGAGGTAGTGAAGGTATTACGAGTAATCGGAGAGGTTAGGATTAGAATATATTATTCAAGAAGTATGATTTAATGAGAAAAGTTTAGAAAGTCAGAACTAGAGTTGTTGAAGAACCCAGAAGATTAGGATTTGAGAGAACACAAAGAGTAAATGCACCGGCGCCATTGCGAACGATTTTGAGCCATGTGATTCAAAGTCTCTAACCATCGATTATTATCATCTCGCGGACCCCAACTAGGTAGTCGACAACTACCGACATGGCTAAGTCCACTCGTCAATGACTTCATGGATTTCTGCCATGTTTTCATTTGGCCGCCCCTAACTTTCTTCCAACCTATTAGACAGAAAAATAACATAAATTTTAGTCAGTTGTTTTTTAAATCCATAGATTGTTTGTGTGTCTAAAATGTGACATCAGTGGACTAAAAGAAGACATTAACATGGTAAACAACAAATACTTCGAAGTGTATTAAAAAGGTAAGAAAAACAAAAGAATTCGGAGATTAGAATTGTTATGTTCGAAATTGAAAGGAAAATAATAAGTGAATCTCTGCATCTCTACTATGGATTTATATTCGCCACCTATGTTTTCAACATAAAAGTTTGAGTGTAGTTCCACTTTCGTTTGAGCAGCGTGATGGTGTGGACCACTCACACAGACAGATATAAGGAGTCTATAATGGGAATATGTAGTAGAATTCTTGTTGGCGGAAGAAAAGAACTAGGTGGGAACGACAAACAAAACTCAATCATTGTAACAACAAGAGTGAATGACCAGCGATTGTGAGGGACAGATCAAGGAAAATGTGCAAACAGTGCATTTAGTGTGCTGTTTTTATATTTTAAAAAGTGTGTTATTTTTAATAATACATTTCTTGCTTGCCTACGTCGTCTTTCTTTATAGTGGTGTCACTATACCACATGTTTTAGCTTAACTGTAATCTAGATATGCTTAGCTGCTACTGTGAGTCTATTGACTTGTTGGATTACAACAAGTCAATTTGGTTTTCAATTAAAACTCCTGCCCATTAATATATATTCAATAAACAAGAACATGCTTGCATTGAAGCTTATTACAATTTTATCTTGTTTTGCTTACTTTTCAGATAGAAATTCTCAATTTACATCTCCATATAGTTTTTTATATTTGCTTATAATGAATGGCAATTTGTCAGTCCTGTATTCAAACTGTAGTATTCACTTATTTGACTCTTCTAATGGTAATCTGATGAACTATTCTAGGTCATATCCAAATAGCTGTGGTTTCACATCGAACGCTTATCTTAACAAATCCCAAAACGTAAAGGTAGATTCACAAAATTTTACTCAAAAACGAATGTCTCGTAAAAAAAAACTCGTGTGTCCTAAGTGCAACAGTTGTTCTGAAGATAGCAGTTGGTGTTCCAACTGCGGAGAATTACTAATTGGTGCGGAAATTTGTTCTTCAGGCGAACCGAAATTCCTTTTAAATGAAGTATCTAAGACGCAAACTAATAGAATGAATTCGAGTATTGTTTCATCTAATATTTCTTCAAGTGTACCTGTTAGTTTCCGAATGTCCTGTGAGAATGATATACAATTGCAAAATTTAGTTGCTCAACAACACCGTGCCATGTTAACCACGGCTACAGATGTAACATCATTACCATCCTGTGCAGCGTCAGCATTCTCGTCAGCAAATCTAAACACTCGAAATTCAGAATGGAGCAATTTTTCATCTTCATCATCAAAACATTTCAATCAACTGTATCATAATGAACCAAGTATTCCATTGTGTGTTCCGGTTGAGCCTTCGTTTTCGAAATATGAGAACGTTGGACTTTTACAGAATGTCTCCGCAGACCAACAGCAGTATCAATTTGAAAAGAATAACGAACACACTAATTCTTTCAATTCTAAATTGTTATACCCTAAAAGAAATGATTTTACTGAATCCACACCATGGAATTCCAAGCATATAAATGGTAATCAAAATTGTAACCAGTTGTCTCATTCACTTAATAATGTTCCTGATTATCGTACATCTGGTCTGATCAAGCAAAATAAATTAACAAGTGATCATAGTAACTTTGGGAATGTATATCATACTAACAATGTCCCTTCCAATTATCATCTAACTACAAATACTTCACCAGTCAATTTATCGGCGAACTCTCCACAATGCCAATACACGTTTTCAGGTAACTGGTGGGATAATTCCGCCGCGTCACAAATTGTGGCTGATCTTTTAAGGGAAACACAGATTTCAGTTTCAGCTAATACTAATACTCCTTTTCAGTCAACATTATACCAACCATGGCAATACCAAGAAGTGATTCCTCCAGCTAGTAAGAGTCCTTCAGCATCACATAAAGGTGTTCGCACACGTGGTGGATTTTGTCGTCGTAAACATCCGTCTGAATGCTCTCGAACTCAACCTAATAATCCTATTCCAGTTCAAAATTCAGCCATCTGTCGTGCTCGCAGTTTTAGTTCCGATTTTGAAGATAATAATCACAATGGTGTTTATTCATCAAAATCGAAACCGTATTTCAATTGGCAATCATCTAGAACAGCCTGGTCAGCACACGATCCTGCAGTGTTGAAAAAGAAGTAAGCTAAATCACATTAACGTTTATACATTTAAAATAATGCTACCATAATTCTCATCATATTCGAATAGTATTTTTTTCGGCTAGTCAATTATTATTTCCACTAGATTTAAAATAACAATTGATATTTAATGAAAAATCCATTTTAAGAGATTGTGGCGATATGCCGCAAGGGTGGATGATTTAGATGGAGTATCGTTCTCTAAACTGGATGATTTGATAATGGAGTTTTTATTGTTCTTTTTAACAATATCATCAGCATACTTCAGTTAAACTATTCAAATTTTTCCACATGTGACTAATAGCTTGTCCTGTTGACCTCGATTTTAGTTGTTTAATGTTGACCATGAACCTGTCGTTACTTACCTCTATTTTGAGTGTAGTTTCCTCTGACCTGATAATTGCTCCTATATTCGTTTGTGACCCTTCTGATTGCTTGAAAGAGTCGATATCATTGTGTTTGTTGATTGCCAAGCTTCTGAAAATTCTCTACGGTTCTCCGTCTTCTAACAGTGATTTCAACCTTTTCCCAGTCAAACGTGTCCGACGTTGTCCGCATGCAATAAACCCTCAAAATCTACCGAACGATGGACCTAAATAGACCGCACCGCTATCCGTCTTTGATGAAGAGGCTCGATAAAAGACTACCGCTCACTCTGGAGATCATGTTTAGATTCAGAGCACGCTTTAGTACGAGTTTTTATTTGTCTGCGTTTTACTGCGCGTAGGAAAGACAGCAAAGAGTAAATTTCAGGCACAACTAGAAAAATAGTTGTGCAGCCATGTAAGTAATGTTCATCCCGAGGCAGCATGGAATAATATCCAAAAAGCTGTGGAAACAGCAGTGATATCTGCTAGTAAGGTTGACCATAAGGCTAGAATGAAATCGTGGATCTCAGTAGCATCCACCGATCTGATGGATGCCCGAAAACTCATCCCACCTGGATCTGAACATGATGAAGAACGAAGTCAACTTAGGCGCAGACTTATAAAAAGCCTACGTAACGATCGCGAACAGTGGTGGGTAGAGATGGGAAAGGCAGCGATGATAGGTAACAATAGACAATTGTTCCACCTTATCAAGGAACCCGGTATTAGAAATCTATCTGTTAGCGAAAACATCTCAGAAAAGTCAGCCAGTCAGTTACAACGTAGAACTTCGTGCATGAGTTCATCATTTCAGGTTGTCACACAACGTCAGCACAGAGCCGCAACTGTCGGTTCAAATGCAAGAGTGATAGCGATAGTACAAGTATTAGCAGTAATGCAAAAGATTAGGGAACGAAGATACGATTCGAGAAGTATAATTCAGTGACATAAGTTTAGAAAGACAATGATAGAGGTGTTGATGAATTCAGAAGGTTAGAATTAGAGAGAACACAAACAGTGGATGCACCTGCGCCATTGCAAACGATTTTGAGCCATGTCATTCAAGGTCTAACCATTGGTGACTTTCGTCTCGCGGACACCAACCAGGTAGCCTACATCTGCCAACATGACTCAGTCCACTTGTCAGTGACTTCATGGATTTCTGCCATGTTTTTGGTCTGGCCGCCCCTACCTCTCTTCCAACCTACTCCTACACCACAAAACATAGCTCGTCGCGGCAGTCCGTGGTTAGACATACGTAACACATGTCACACCCGACCGAAGCTGCTACCTTGACGTGGTGGTCGGGCTTGCCTATCGTGATGACCCAACCGAGCTATACTGGCTGGAACATATGTTCCTGTAGGTCCTACCATGCCAGGCAGGTCGATTGGAGAACGATGAGACTAAAAGCAGCTACCCAAGGTCTGAGGGCGAAGTCGTACTGCTGACTGTGATGGAGGGGTGTGACAGCAGTAAGGTGTTTCCCTTGGACAACCAGCATCTGCATCGATGCTGCCTTCTCACAAGGAAGGAAGGGTTAGAAAAGGTCGGCCCTAAAAATGTTACACCTCCCCTAACTCACGGATTTCCGTCTCCCTGGGTAAGGGTGCCCACTAAGGGCCTTTAAGAACGGAGCTAATACTCTAAATACCTCTCATAAAAAGGCCGTGCGTGACCGGTCTCAAGCAGTTGTCCCTTGGGCTCTGCGGTCACGCACCAACACTAATCCATCTTCCTTTTCAGGTCCCTCAAGAAACAACCTTCGACGGTGTGGGCAGCCGGGAAGTGACAACCGCCCTCATACCCGTAACAGCACACGAGACCAAATTGGTCAAAATCAAATCCTTCCTACACCCCCTAATGTCTCTCTTATCGCTACGACTAACTCTACTCATACTCCCTTTTCTCACTGCACCGCTAATGCAGACGAAGCGAGATCACAAAACGTCGTTCCTAGTCTCCTGAAACCCCGTTCTAGACTACATGTTGGAGCTTTTAAAGTCCGGACATTGTGTCAAATAGGGCAAGAGGCATCATTAGCTAGGACTTTAGAAAGTCGCCTCGACGAGCCTTGTTTTGTAGTATAGGAGTAGGTTGGAAGAAAGTTAGGGGCGGCCAGACCAAAACATGGCAGAAATCCATGAAGTCATTGACTAGTGGACTGAGCCATGTCGGTAATTGTCGACTACCTGGTTGGGGTCCGCGAGATGATAATAATCGATGGTTAGAGACCTTGAATGACATGGCTCGAAACCGTTTGCAATGGTGCCGGTGCATTTACTCTTTATGTTCTCTCAAATCCTAATCTTCTGGATTCTTCAACACCTCTAGTTTTGACTTTCTAAACTTTTCTCATTTAATCATACTTCTTGAATAATATCTTCTCATCCTAACCTTTCCGATTAATTCTAATACCTTTACTACCTCTTCTGCTATTGGATTTGAATTGACAATTACATCTCTGTGCTGATGTGGTATGGCAACATGAACTGATGTACTTACGTACAAAGTTCTACGTTGCATCTGACTGACTGACTGAACACATGTCACAACCACTTCAACTGATGAAGTTTCACTACTTCATGTATTGATCTGCCATCCGCATTGCTTACTCGGCGATCCCTTGATACACGAACAACGCTTCGAATACCAATAACCTACGAATATCTTCTACTCTTACCGGCCATGTTTCGGATCCATATAAGAGAACGGAGCGAACTGCTGCGCAGTACTCTTAGCCTTCAGTCTGCAAATGGATATCTCGCCTACGCCAAAAATGACGCAAAGTGGTGTGGCAACTAAGAGTAGAAGATAGTCTTAGGTTACTACTATTCGATCATAGGAGTTTTCGAAGCATTGCTCAAATATACTGGGACCACAGTGTAGGCAGTGCTTTTGCTAGTGTTGTGAACGAGAACACAGGTGGGGCAACCGGATTGTATTTAGCGAAAATTACAGAGTTACTCAGTAAAATAGGAAAATCATATCGTAAATCGTTAATTTGTAAAATATCAGTTCATCATATCGAACTGGACTGTTCCTGTTGCAAAACATCAATCCATTGTCACTATTCATGCGTTTCATACAAATTCCATTGTGTTCTTCTAACTCTTCCTTTCTTGATCTTCCCCCATGTTCTGCTGCCAGACATTACGTTGACGCTCGCGTCATATACTACTTATAAGTAGCGCGCACCACACTAGGACCAGGGGTACTAGGGAAGGATGGAAGATCAATAGATAAAGTAGTAGCTGTCGGCTACCAGATTGGGGTCCGCGAGACAATAGTAACCAATAATTTGAGACTTTTTCTTCTCTCTTTTGAATTTTCCATGACTATTTTCGATTTTTCTTAAAAGTGATTCTACTGGTTTATACTTCAGGCTTTTCGTTTTAGCTAACTACTACCTTAGTTTGTGAATGTAAAACAGTCTTTCAATAGATAGAATATTAGTAGCTTACTGAAATTTGTTTGCAAGTGTCTCCGATGGGTCACTGAGTTAGCAATAACAAGCTTAAGCACAGAAGTGTAGGTGGGTATGACAAATCCACTAGACAAGATACTGACTCCTTATTAACTGAGATAGTTAAGATATGCATTTTACATATGCCCGTCTACGATAGCAGCTGCTTCTGTGAAAGGAGCCACATTGGGCGTACAACCAGACAACGAGTTAGTGAACACTGTGTTTGGGAAAGTATGATCAAAACATTGTGTAGCTCCCTTCTACCACATTTGATCAATGGCAATCCTGCATTAGATAGAAATAAATCATGTAGGGTTATTTATCGTGTACGTACTACTCTTTGCTTATTGAGTTCGGTTTCGTTTCTTACTGTTAGTGGGACAGATGGATTAAAGCATGACTGCGTTAGCTGCGCGCTGATTGGCTAATTTCCTAATCCGGTCAGTGCTAATCAATCACGTGAATTACATCCCAGAAGCTTCTCATGTAAAAACTATAAAGACACTAACGTCGTATCTATTTTGCCTTCGCCTTCGCCTTTGGCTTCTTATTTCCATTTAACCTTGCTACTTGGAATATAACCTTTTCCCGTTCCACCGTGTTCTGATATTTTGGAATTTTGTCTAGTGTATTGTGGTCAGAGAATACTAAGCAATAGGAATTAGCTGGGAACTAATTATGAGGATTCGAGCTAACAAACAACCCAAATCTTTGTATTAATAAGAAATTCGTAACACCCTTAGTTCTTCTTTGACCTATTAAGACTTAGCAAATGGTTTTTTCGCTTATCGGTTTCTGGTTATTTTTCCTGACCCTTTTTCAAATTTATTCATTATCTTATTATTTGAATTTATTACGTAATTTTATTGATTGTTATTGTATATTTTTTCAGTGTTTATTTTCTCCAATTCGTTGACCTAGTTCCTGTCATTAAACATTGATTTTTTTCGTTGTTATTACGGACTCAGAATGCTTTGATTTAATATTCTTATATATGCATATAAATATTACTTAATATTAGAGAAGTCTAATAACGGACTAGTGAGAAGCAATATTATGGGAAATTTGTGAAGATTGCATCCTTGTCATCACACTTGAAATCACAGATTAATTTTAGCCAGACCACTGTTGAAAATATGGAAGCACTGGGTCATCGTTGTGTCTCTTCATCAATTCGTGTTTACGAAGGGTCAGTCAAAAACAATACGCAGTTCTATCTTAGCACATCTGGTAGATAGTGGTCACTTTGTAGATAAATCTAGATCTTTTCGGGTGATCTATCGTATAGGTCCATCATTTCCCACCGGAGTTCGATCCCGTCTCCTACACATTTCAGAAGCCATAGGAATACGTACGTTCAACCCTAATTTATGTGTTCAGAAGAAATTCGTGACACCCCTATCTCTTCCGTGGCCGGATATGACGTAACTAACGATGGACATTATATTTTTATTTTTACACATTTGCTTATTACGTAATGTTTTTGATGATTATTTGAATTCTATTCATCCACCTTTGACCTACTTTAGTTATCATATTTTATAAATTTTCCTACTACTATCTGTTCACCTATCTTCCTACTATCCACTTGTACTTTTGCCTTTTTCATTTCATTGTGATTATCACTCAAATTACCTTGATTGGTTTGAACATTTTCATCAAATAACTATTCATGTATATTAGAGAGTAAAGCCTGATGACGATCTAATCGAAAACAATAATATTGTTCGCTTATATCTGTGTTGTTCTAATTCGTGTTTATTATATCATATTGGTGCATTCCAATATCTGTTTGCTTTCAAAGAGCATTAGACACAGTGTACAACAGAATGAGGTGCTGCTCCACCGTTGTCAATATTTCTCGTGTATTAAAGTAAAATCATAGAATTTTCAATAGTCAAAGATAGATATTTCTCTAAATTACATCTTAGGATCATAATTATGATAGTTTACTTTTGAAAGTGTCGTGAAAATTGAGAGTTGATCTAAAAAAGAAATATGCCGTATCTTAAGTTTTTATATGGCGATTTAAGGTCAAATAAAACAAAGTATATTTTATCAGGTAGATAGATATTCATTCTTAATCTATGATTCTTCATAAAAATTCTCATTGAAATATATATTCATATACATTGCTAATTTTTTTAAAGCCCAATAATTTCGTTTTTATATTTTAGACCTGCTGCATATCTAAGAGCATCATATAGTCACGGAAATGTTGCTTCTGTTCACTTGGACTGTAATACAAATGTGTAAGTTTCACAAGCAAGCACCTGTTTTATGTAGATCTAATTTTTTATTTTTAACATTACATTTTTTCCAGTTTTAAAATGAACTCGAAATTTCTGTTTTTCTGCATTTAATCACGTTCACTTGATCATTTGAATAGCCCGAAAATTGCACAGCTTAGTGTGTTCTATTCTGCAGGGTTATAAGCGAATATAGAAAAGACTGCACTTGGTTAGTTATCAACGGTCTTCTCATATATTATGGTGCTGAGTAACAATCCTCTTTTTTTTCTACGAAACATTGTTCACGTTTGGTGGAGCCATCAAGCGAGTAACGCTGAAGTTAGATACATTGGATCAAGTATAGATGTGGCTAGGCATATTCATCACCTGAGGCATTTGGGACGTGTGTATCTCGTCCGTCGTCACTGCATGCTGCAACATGCAATACCAACTGATATGGAGGCGGGTTAGAAGCATATTAGGGTTGACCACACGAAAACATTTTATTTTATGAAGTCACCTGATCATTATCGGAAATTTGGGACATCCTGGTTAAAATGTGATGCTTAATTTATCCTGAGTTCAATCCCAGCAATGCATATATACTGCGATAGCTCACTGAAGCCTCGAGAGACTTCCAAAAAGCTGAAGCGCTTCCATCGAATCACATCTCGATAGGATTTCTAAAATGTTAATGTAACATAGGGAGAAGTGGATGACGACGTAAGATTGCTCATTGAGGATTGTATGATCTTATATAGTGTTTCAACTCTATACCAAACTATGAATACACACGGTTTTTCTGTAGATTTTAAAAATTTAACTGGAGTTAAGATTTCTGTATCTACCTCTTAATCCTGGAGTTAGTTTCTTTCTGTACTTTTATTTCATTTCTTCGTATTTGCAGCTGTATGTTGTACAGCCTGCCAACCTTTGTACAGAAAACCCTGATCAGTTAATCACAAGTGTTTTCCAAGTACTTACTATAAAGTATTGTTTTCAAGGTTTAAAAGTGAATGGGGTTAAGAACCTTCTGTGAATTGAATCACAAAATGTTTTTAAATGTGTCGATGTTTTTTTTGAATTATTTGAAAAGTAGATAGACTTCTGACTGAATCATCATAATTGAAGTGAATTTTATCTGTCAGAAAGTTTTGTCAATGCCTAATCTGTAAAGTAAAACGATTCGTATAACCGACTTAACGACCGATAGAAATCAGGTCTACTCGGTAGTTAACTTATAGATCTTTGTACATTCAATGTGTTTTTATTTTATCAATATCTCGACCTCTTTGGGGTAAGAATTTATCGGTATTAAAAAAAGAAAATTCTTTACATATAGAGATTTTCAAGTCTGTCATTAGACTGGTATATATATGAATTGGATTGTACTTTGTCCAGATTTTATGCACAACCCTCCCCCTTAGTTGCTTTACATGACCAACGCGTTTTTGTATTATCTCTGTATTTACAAAATGTGCTTATAACCCCTCTAATTATGCTTATCAATATTTAATCCTTACAGGAAACCTGATAAATCTCAACAATTACTTATTCCACATTCAAACAACAATTCATCTAATCCAAAAGTTGATTCGAACAACAATACTATAAGATCATCTCCAGACAATCGTTCAGAATGGAATGATACTCATACAAAGATAAATCGTTGTCATCATCATAATCAACAACCACCAAGACGTAATCGATGTTTTGTATCAAAGAGTTTGAGTGTTTGCATGGATAATACAACACACAATACAACCACTAGTAGTAGTAGTAGTAGTGCACTAAAAGAGGTATTGTTTTAATATATGAAATAAGATAATTTCATGAATATTTCTGGTGTTTTTTTTTAAACGTCTAATCATGTGCTTCTTTTTTATTTGATATGTTTAAAACAGCTTTCTCGTTTTAAACAAATAGTAATTTACATTTTAAAACAAAGAATATTTAAGCGAACAATTGGTCTGTTTAATAACTTCGTTAACTCATGCTCTACAGTAATGAGTTCATAATAATCTTTCAACAAGCTAACTTTCAGATGCCTACATAAAAAGTTTACGAGCTAATGCTTCACCAGGTACATAAAAGTACGACATCGTGGTGTCAGTCGATCTGCTGACAAAACAATGAAAGTCAATAAGATATTGATTCTTGAACTGTTTGTTTTCAACTGACAATCACTGTTTGTTTTGTGGAGGAAACTCGTGGTATATTGCGTACGGGAAAATTCTCTGTTTTACTAAACAGATCATATTGAATAAAACTATTATTTTTGTTACGGTTATTTGTGAAACACTGATTTGTATTGCCTTACTTAAAATTCTGAGCACATATCTTAGTCAGTGTCAGTTAGCGGAAATGTTAAATCAATAAATGTTTGAATCCTGTCAGCGTCTATATCATTCGAATCTTTATACAAGTCAGGTTTAGAAATATGAGCATAATTGATCATTCATAGGTTGATACTCTTGAGCAGTGTAAATGTATAGGATGCCTGCAGTCGATTAGATTCAGCTGCTTCATTGGCTCATCAGCCGATGTGATTGTTTAGTAGAAACCATCTTATCATAATGGGTTTTTATGCACAGCCTACTAAGTACAGATATTCAGTCTCCTAATGTTTAACTTCCGAAATACACTTGATTTTGTTGATAGACGAAGTTTTTAACGTATGTTGTATCGTATAAATATTTATTCAGGAAGTTGATAATTGTTCAGTGTAATTTTTAAAATAAATTTATAAGAATTTTCTCATTTTCACACCTTTATTCAGGATACTTCGATTAATGTTCATATTGATGAAATTAATAAACCTAAAAATCAATTTGTCATGTCCAACTGGTTACTCTTACCCGATGAATTATGGCTTGAAATACTTCGTTATTTAAGTCCAGTAGATCGTGTACGAGTTGCTCAAACTTGTCGACATTTGTCTAGACTTTCAATGGATCGTTCATTATGGCGAGTGATTCATCTTCATCGACAACATCATTTAACTGATGCAGATTTAATGAAAATTGGAAATTTTAAACCAAAAGAATTACGTTTCACTTATTGTCGTGGTGACAGTCTAACAGCTACAGGTACGTGTTAACACTGCATATGTTAACTATTAGCTCTTTTTTTGATCTTAACAAATATTCTTTAATTTCACATCTGTTCATGGCGAATATGTGTGTCAGTTACTGTGGATGCTATTGGACAGCGATTATTTGGTGTTTACTTTGAGAGGTTTTAAGGAAGTATAGCACTGACACAACAGAATTTGTTCAATGTGTAGTTATTTTTAATTGCATAAAAAAGTTATATTATTTACAACTACTTTGTGGTAAAGTTTCTGTCTACTGGAACGGAACCTTTAGATCTGGACCTATTTTCTTCCAGGACAAAATCGTGATACGGCGGAGAGGTCAGATGATAAGCCCACGCAAGTAACCAAACTGTGACTTCCTTTTTTATAAGGAATAAGCTACACCCTATTGATGAAAAAAATTGTGGCCTTAAGTTCTAAAGAATATATATGTTAGTTAATAGGTCAGTTGCATTGCAGAACTCAGTGCATACGTACATCAGTTCAGGTTGTTATACCACATTAGCACAGAAAGAGAAAGTTGTAAGATCACATATCCCAGAGCAGTAGGTGCAGTAGCATTTTGGGTAGTAATTGAAAAGATTAGGGATCATAGATAAGATTCGAGAAAATACCAACCAGTGTAATAAATTTAAAAAGGAAATAGCAGAAACTAAGTTCATGAAGAATTCCAAAGTTTATAGTTTGAGGGAGGACAAGAAGTGCATGTATCTGCGCCATTTTGAACGATCATTCAAGGTCTCTAACCATCGGTGACAATGATCACACGTACTCCAACCAAGTAACCTGCACCTATTACCCCATGTCTGAGTCCACTTGTCAATGACATGACAGACTAGTACCATGTTTCGATTCAATCACCGGTAGTTTTGTTTTCATCCAACCCCTACACCAAACAACATTGACCATTTAGGTTCATAAAAAAGAAATTTACTTATCAATATTAGAATTTGATTATCATATATATAGCACAACATGATTTCAATTTGTAACATATAATTAATGGTTGATCAATCAACCAATTGCTGTGCTTCCAATGTTTCAAAATCTAACATAACATTTTTTTATCGTTCTGACTTTGTGTCTCATAATAATATTCAAACACACAGCTGTTTTATTGTCTCGATATCATTGGGAGTGTGTAGTCGAGCGTGTAGACCGCTTCACTTATCTTGGGAGTCTCATCAGTGCCGATGGCCTGGTGACTGACGAAATCTCAGCTCGGATACAGAAGGCTCGATTGGCTTTTGCCAACCTGCGTCACTTATGGCGTAGGCGTGATATCCGTTTGCTGACCAAAGAACGAGTGTACTGTGCACCAGTTCGCTCCGTTCTCCTATATGGCTGTGAAACATGGCCAATGAGAGTAGAAGATATTCGTAGGTTACTTACTGGTTCTCGATCATAGGTGTCTTCGAAACATTGCTCGTATACCGTGGGACAACCGAGTAAGCAATGCTGTCGTTAGGAAACGAGTACTGGGCAAGGATGGCAGACCAATCGATGAAGTGGTGAAACTTCATCAGTTGAGGTGGTTGAGACATGTGCTGCGTATGTCCAACCACCGACTGCCTCGTCGAGCTTTGTTTTGTAGTGTAGCAGTAGATTGGAAGAAAGGTAGGGGCGGCCAGACCAAAACATGGCAGAAATCCATGAAGTCATTGACTAGTGGACTGAGCCATGTCGGTAATTGTCGACTACCTGGTTGGTGTCCGCGAGATGATAATAATCGATGGTTAGAGACCTTGAATGACATGGCTCAAAATCGTTCGCAATGGCGCCGGTGCATTTATTCTTTATGTTCTCTCAAACTCTAATCTTCTGAATTCTTCAACACCTCTCGTTTCGACTCTCTAAACTTTCTCACTGAATCATACTTCTTGAATAGTATCTTCTAACCCTAACCTCTCCGATTACTTCTAATTCCCTTACTACCTCTACTACTATTGGATTTGAATTGACAATTATATCTCTGTGCTGATGTGGTATGGTATGGTATGATGTACTTACATACGATGTTCTACGTTGCATCTGACTGACTTACTGCAACTGAACTGATCTACGTACGTACGTACGAAATATTACGTTGCATCTGACTGACTGACTGAATATTCGAACATACACAGCTGTTATATTATCTCGATATCATTGGGAGTGTGTTATTAGTAGTTTAAAATAAACAATGCATTTACTTCAACTACCTTGTTTTTTATGCTTCTTCGCTTAAACACTACAACATTGTAAGTTATGATAAGTGATTATTCTTTATTAAAACTGGAGATATTCCTTTTTTGTTTTAGGATTAAAACGTATGTTTTTAGTCTGTGGTCCAGGATTACAAAAATTATCATTAATTGGTTGTACTAAAGGACCATTTGATCAAGATTTACCATTACGCATAGTTGCTGATCATTGTCATAATTTAAAACATGTCAATGCAAGTTATACTCAATCAGTACGTGATCAAACTGTCATCGCTTTAGCTAAATCTGCTACACATTTAATTAGTGTAAAATTAAATGGTGCTCAACAAATTAGTAATGCTGCTATACAACAATTAGTTCATTATCATCAAAGTACTCTGGTAAGTAAATTTGAATAGATTAGGAAAAAAAGATTGTTTTTTCTTTCAAATATTCAATTTAAACACAAAAGAATACATGCACCACATAAATTATTGTATTTATGAATGGTCTGTAATACTGTTTACGTGATGAAACCGAAACAGGTGGTTTCTTTACGGGGGTTTGTCCCTGAACCTATGACTTGGAGATATATAATCCACACAGTAGTAGAGCAACGTTTGGAGGTGTAGTCCCATGGTAGCTAATGATCGTCAGTAAATCCATGTGCCATTTGTTTCCTCTAGATCCTGGAGTTCATGTTTATCATTTGCTTGGAATTAATCTTTTTCAACTCTCTTAGGGGAATCTTCCGTACCCACTAACCCAGTTTAAACTTCAGTCGTACATTTGCTTTTTGTCCTGTATATTTCGTAAACAACACTTGTGTCACAAGAAGACAGTAAGTAGGACTTCACTATCAGGGAGAGCATTTGGAGAGAAAGCACGAACTCTCCTGACTCTTGGCTGTAGAGGGCTCAAGTAGGTAGACTGAGTAAAAAGGAAAGAAACCTGGATGGATGTTATGGTGTCGCGGCTTAGAGAACAAACAATGGTGACCGTCTGTCGCAACTGTGCTCAGATAACCGCCTATTTCTAGCAAACACTAACTTTAGGCATAAGGAAAAGCATCTGTTGACCTGGCGACCCCCAAAGTTGTCTCAACATTGGTCCCAACATGATAATATTGCCATCAGCCACCGATGGAAAGGTTCGATAGAGGACTGTCGCTCATTCTAGGGCGCATGTCTAGATTTAGATCATGCCCTAGTGCGAGTGCGTATTTGTTTGCGACTTTTTGGACGTAGGTAAGACACCGTAAGGAAACAGAACTATGAATATATATCATGAACAACTGGAAAAATAGTTAGACAGCCATGAAAGCGATATTCAAAAAGCTGTGAAAACAGCAGTGATATCTGCTGGTAAGTTAAGCCATAAAGGCAAGGAAGAAGCCATGGATCTCAGTAGCATCCAATGAACTGATAGGCGCTCGTAAACTCATCCCACCTGGATCTGAACATGTTGAAGAGGGAATACAGCCTAAGCACAGGCTGATAAAAAGCCTACGCAACCATCGCGAACAGTGGTGGGTAGCGAAAGCAAGAGCGATGGAAAGGGCAGCAGCAATAGGTAACAGTAGGCAGTTATTCAAAATAATCAAGGAATCCAACTGTGAGAGACTATCTCGAAAAGGGATGGACTTTATATTCATTTCTGAATCCAGGAGATTGAATCGAGGGGCAGAGCACTTTAAGGATCAGTTCAATTGGCTTTCAGTCGCTCTTCGTTTACCAACGATCTCCGGTCAACCTGAATGGCAACTTGATGTAAGTCATCTGACTCTTTATGAGGCTGAAAAAGCTTTAGGAAATCTAAAGCGAGGGAGAGCAGCAGTCCTTGATAAATTAACTGAGATTTTAAGTAGAATCTGAAAACTGATCTCAATCACTGATTATCCAAACCTATAAGAAAGGACAAAAGTAATGACCATGTTTCGCACCCATATAATCGGACCGAACTGCTAGACAGTATATTCGTCCTTTCGTTAGCAAACGGATATCTTGCCTATGCCATAAATGACGCAAGTTGGCAAAAGCTAATCTAACCTTCTGTATTCGTGCTAATATTTGGTCACACACCAGGGCATCAGCATTGATGAGACTCCCAAGATAAGTGAAGTGGTCAACATGCTTAACTACTTCACTCCCCCCTATCACTATTTCAAATGGCGATGCAAGCAAACCTTGAAGCAATATTTTAGATTTCGAGGCGGAAAACCGCATCCTGAACATGCTTGCATTGTTGCTTAGAGTAGTCAGAAGACACGGCATTTTTTCTCAGCGCCTTCACCAAGTACAACTAAGTCATCGGCATAGTCTAATTCATCATGCAAGTCTCCTGGTGGTAGGTCCACCCTTGAAAAATCAAACGAAGTATTATTGAAGCTAATATTTTGACACTGATTCTCCTCCTGTGATTGTCACAAAAAGACTTTTGTAGTTGACTAATGGAAGAAATAATTAAATCAAGCAAGCACAGTGTTTCTGATCTCGTAAGATGTGTATTTACCCACAAGACGCTGTTCGCCAACTTTTCTGAAAGCTTTTGAATAGTCAAAATTTAGCTTTAAGACTAGGTGTTCTCGGCCTCGTTGAATATTGATTAGATTGACTAAGTTACAGTGGTCGTCATTGTGGTAAATTACTTCATTGTTATTAGCCTTAATCTTGTAGAAAAATGTAATTTTTTTGTTGGACTCCACGTGACTATTTTTTTCTTGTAGTAAAGTATAAACTTTTGACATAACGTAGTAGTATAGATATATTCACTTCCTGAGTTCTTTAATTGTATTATAGTTTTAAATGTATTTTGTACAATCTTGTGCAATGTTATCAATCACACAATAAATGTTTTCATGTAATAAATATATCTGTGATTGTTGAAATCTGTTCCAAATAAAAGAAAACATTAAGACATCAAAATAATACTAATAATAATTTTATATTTTGTGGGAAAACCGTACCCTAAGCAACAATGCAAGCATGTTCGGGATGCGGTTTTCCCCCTCGAAATGCAAAATGTTGCTTCAAGATTGGGTTTCATCGGCACCTGAACTAGTGATAGGGAGTGAAGTAGTCGAACGTGTAGACCGCTTCACTTATCTTGGGAGTCTCATCAGTGCCGATGGCCTGGTGACTGACGAAATCTCAGCACGGATACAGAAGGCTCGATTGGCTTTTGCCAACCTGCGTCACTTATGGCGTAGGCGAGATATCCGTTTGCTGACTAAAGGATGAGTGTACTGTGCAGTGGTTCGCTCCCTCTCACTTTATGGCTGTGAAACATGGCCAGTGAGAGTAGATATTCGTAGGTTACTGGTTTTCGATCATAGGTGTCTTCAAAGCAATGCTCGTATATCGTGGGACATCCGAGTGAGCAACGCTGTTATTAGGAATCGCGTGCTAGGTAAGAATGGCAGATCAATAGATGAAGTGGTGAAACTTCATCAGTTGAGGTGGTTGAGACATGTGCTGCGTATGTCCAACCACCGACTGCCTCGTCGAGCTTTGTTTTGTAGTGTAGGAATAGGTTGGAAGAAAGGTAGGGGCGGCCAGACCAAAACATGGCAGAAATCCATGAAGTCATTGACAAGTGGACTGAGCCATGTCGGTAATTGTCGACTACCTGGTTGGGCTCTGCGAGATGATAATAATCGATGGTTAGAGACCTTGAATGACATGGCTCAAAATCGTTCGCAATGGCGCCGGTGCATTTATTCTTTATGTTCTCTCAAATCCTAATCATCTGGTTTCTTCAACAACTCTAGTTTTGACTTTCTAAACTTTTCTCACTGAATCATACTTCTTGAATAATATCTTCTAATCCTAACCTCTCCGATTACTTCTAATACCTTTACAACCTCTTCTACTATTGGATTTGAATTGACAATTACATCTCTGTGCTGATGTGGTATGGCGGTATGAACTGATGTACTTACATACGAAGTTCTACGTTGCATCTGACTGACTGATATTTTGTGAATTCATTCATATCATTTGGCTTGTACGAAGAAAAACGCAGATAAATGTGTAACTTGTTTGTGGTATTTTAGAACTTACCTATTTCCAAAATATCAATATTATATCTTACTTATATATGCTTAACTTAATCCTGTTGCGATGGGTTCTGTTCGGGGTTCCTCTTTCCAGTTGTTCCTAAGTATTGTTCATTCTTTTGATGTAGGCCTTCAATTCTTGGCGTGATGTGTTGTTGTTTAGCCTGCCTTCTTCCCTTCTGTTTTGATGATTCCATGTTAGTGCTTGCCTCGTGATGCAGTTCAATGATTTCCACAACGCGTGTTGAATTCACCTCCAGCGTTTTTTCCCATTTCCCTCTTCATGTGGAAGCTTGTTTGCTCTCTGCTACCATAAGTTATTGTTGTTGCTGATGGTGATCAGTCAGCAGGATTGAAGTATCGTACGTAGACAACTGTTCATTAATACCTGTGTCCTTTGACTGATTGTTTTCATAGTTCTCCACGTTTCATTTTAATATAATGCGAATGTTTTGAAGTTTATATTGAAAATGGTTACTTTGCTATTGGCTGACAGTCAGTTGTTTGAGTTTCAGACGTTCTTTAATGATAGATATGTTGCTGTTGATTATTTACCAATCCCTGTCTTTACGTCTGTACCAGATCTGCCTTGTTTATCATTAAGGAATGATCTCATAATATCTACCACCGTTTATTAAAATATTTATAAATGTGTTTTTGTCAATACATCATGGTAAACGTATTATATACTGACGATCTCAAACAACCAATCAGGAAATGAAGTTTAGTTCCAAAACAATCAACAACTAAACACCGTAAAATATCAATGGAATAATAGCTTTAATCTGATTAATCAACGCTCACATGTCAAATTATTCCGTATAATGAAAAGCAAAGGGCAAAGTTCACCTATTACAAGTCGGACAAGTGTCATGAATTAGGATTATTAACCCCAATTTAAACCAGCTTTCATATTAAAAGGTTAGGGGTTAATCATTAAAAGTTAAGCCAGAATTATGGGTTTCAGTTGTCCAAGTTCGAGACAAACTGGCATCAGCTATGATGCAATTCTCCGTACCTCTTTTGTCTATAAACTAAACAGACTTAAAATTGAGATTTAGAGTTATCAACTTTCATTAAACACCCCATTTGACAAACACACACTAAGTCTCAACAAGTAATTTTTTTAACATACGACACTTGTGTTTTTTTATAATTTAGCTTAAGCATCATACTCCATTCAGTTTTCGATTTCATAATAGAATTTTCAATTGATTTCAAGGACGCGATATATATTGTTAGTTTTTTACTACGTTAGCGACAACAACACACAAATTAGCTTATCCTTGTTTCTGTTGTATAAAAAACACATATAATTCGACATTTTAATTCTGATTGGTTCTACACAACAGAGGCGTCAATACTTGCATACTTTTTGCCAATTTCATTATGTGATAAAGCATTGTTTCATTACAATTTTAAATAATACAATACACTATATTGTGAAATTTTTCATTTATCATTGATTCACCCTTTTGTGATTCATGTTGTTGGTTTCATGTGTGTGTAATTTGTGTTATTGTTGTTTTTTCTTTGATTATTATGATAATAAAAGGAACGTTTAGAATTATTTGGATGTTTTCGTTTAAATTCAAGTATATTGGCATTATTGGGACAATGTCAAGAATTACGAGCATTAGCATTTGGACATTTGCATCATTTATCATCGGATGGTTTATTGGAACTTGTTAGCAAAGTAAATTGAAATGAAGTTAATTTGTATTGTATTCATTCATAAAGTCATTTCCTCTATAGTAACCCAAAAAATAATTGAATCTCAACTCAGTCTACAATGCTGCTGTCTTGCCTTTTGAATAGCATATTGTGTGGAAAAAGAACTCTTTCAGTTCCTCTTACTTTTTTTAGAGAAAATTAAACGAAATTACAATAGGATAAGCACTTGCTTCTATTCTAAGCTATATCTAATAGTGTCACACCATCTTTCATACACCAACCAGAAATCTATGATAAACCGATAGGACTCAGGTGTATGTAGCTTTCTTTCATACACCATATCATAAACTAACCACATCTCCAGTCGTTTCAACTAGTCTCGGTGTCGGTAGGCAATTCGCAATGTAGAAACCGATGGTAGCCCATATCTTAGTAAAGTCTGTGTTTCAAGATAGTGACACTCAATGGATTGTCATCAACATGTCTTTGAACCTCTGTATTACTAATGCCATGTTGCCACTGAATGGTTAGCAATCCTATTGAAGGTAACAATTTCCTAACATTCTTAACTTCACTGGTTAAACTACAAATTGAGTTCATCGGTCTGTGCTTGACTACTGGTTCATATTTTAACAAAAATTCGAATAATCGTATATACTTGTTTACAAGGAGAGAGAGAGAGAGAGAAGAAATGGAAACTCTTTAGTATTAGTTAAAGAACATTTTAAATAGATTCAGAAAAGAAATACCCGAAAACCAACAATTATATATACATTGCTAAGTCAGTCAGTCAGTTGCAACGTAGAACTTCGTACGTAAGTACATCAGTTCATGTCGCCATACCACATCAGCACAGAGATGTAATTGTCAATTCAAATCCAATAGTAGAAGAGGTAGTAAAGGTATTAGGAATAATCGGAGAGGTTAGGATTAGAAGATATTATTCAAGAAGTATGTGATTCAATGAGAAAAGTTTAGAGAGTCGAAACTAGAGGGGTTGAAGAATCCAGAAGATTAGGATTTGAGAGAACACAAAGAATAAATACACCGGCGCCATTGCGAACGATTTTGAGCCATGTCATTCAAGGTCTCTAACCATCGATTATTCTCATCTCGCGGACCCCAACCAGGTAGTCGACAATTACCGACATGGCTAAGTCCACTCGTCAATGTATACATTGCTAATCATTTTGCTCAAGTAGATTGTTTAATGGCAAATTTAATTTTCTTTTTTTTTCCTTTTCTATTTTCTTCTCCAGTTACCTCATCTTTCTTCACTTGATCTACGTGGTACACAAACTTTTAGTGATGATAATAATCTTACTCAATTAGCTACTAAATGTCCTCATCTAGAAGAAATTGTCTTAGCCAATATGCATTCGTTAAAATGTGAAACTGGTATTGCTCAAATGTTACGCTGTTTACCTCGTTTACGTGTACTAGATCTATGCGGTCTAGTTGCTGTTGGTGATTTAACAATGGAAGTTTTAGCTGCTAATTGTCCTCAATTGGAAGAACTTGATGTCAGTTGTACTTCGGTTACTCAAAAAGGGTAAGTTAATAAAGTTTGTATTATATTGTTGTTGTTGTTGTTAAATTATAACTGTGTTTATCTGTGATGATGGTAGAAATCGATAAATCTTCTAAAATTGCTGTTAAATTTTCTCATCAAAATCCTTATAAGTTATAAACTATCACATAGTACTTATTCAACAGTATTTGAAAATTAATTTTTCTAGTAGAAGAATTCAAAGATGTATCTGTTAATAAATTATACTGTTTTCATCCTCTTTGGAAGAAAAACTTTAAAGTACACAATCATAAAGTTGTTTAATTCTACAATTCTCATATATATTTCTGATAATTTTACTTCGTTTAAATTACTATGTTGATATGTTGTTTTAAGACAATTAGCTCTAGAATGCTTTGTTATGGCTGAGCGTGTTGTGAGTACGTTTCTTCGAAATGCTCTTTCATATGATCATGTTTATATAGCCACTGACAGGGATATCCTACTTACTGCCTTCTCGTGACAAAATTATTGTTTACGAAATTTACAGGACAGAAAGCAAACGGTGGATTTGAAGGATCCACCTAGGAAGATTGATAAGCCTTCATTCCAAAACAAAAGTGCTGCATATGGGCTCCAAGATCTTGACAGAAGGAATGGCGTATAGGCCTACTATTGATCACCGGCCACCATAGGACTGTATCTGTTGACAGTGCTCCATTACCTTGTAGATTAGACTTTTAGGTGAAATTTTCGGGATTTGGATTCCTAAAAAACACTCATCTCCGTTTGGACTTTCAGACACTTTTCCAGTCCAGTCACAAATTTAAAATTGTCATCAAGTTACTTTTAAGCTCTCGAGATGGAAATCTGTGTGCAGACTGTAACAAGCGATCAAGCATACATGCTGATACAAACATGATTATAATAATAATGATAGTAGTAGTGTAGTGAACGAGAAGACAGGTGGGGCAGCCGGATTGTATTTAACGAAAATTACAGAGTTACTCAGTAAAATAGGAAAACCATATCGTAAATCGTTAATTTGCAAAATATCAGTTCATCATATCGAACTGAACTGTTCCTATTGCAAAACATCAATCCAATGTCACTATTGATGCGTTTCATACAAATTCCATTGTTTTCTAACACTTTCTTTCTTGATCTTCCCCCATATTATGCTGCCAGACATTACGTTGACACTCACGTCATATACTACTTATAAGTAGCTCACACCACAGTAGTAGTAGTAGTAGTAGTAGTACAAAGATACAGACAAATTGTTAGTATGATAGCATCTATGAAATAAGTTATTTAAAAGGGGTTTAACTAAACACAAACCGCATGTGTACTTTTTAGGTGTTACAAAAACTGTCTGCTTTTGACAATTTTCTAATTTCTTTACTACATTAGTTCAACTAGTGACTGAATATACATGTTGACAGTATGTTTAAGGCATTTGAGTCGATCAAGGATTAATAACTTCACTAAACAACGATATACTATAAGTACTCGCTTAAATTCAACTGGAAAAAGAAACCTGTTCACATTCATATGCTTAATTCAAAACATGTGGTTAACGATATTGGTGTATTCCTTATAAACTACTATGTCGCATGATATATATGTGCTTATTTGTATATTTTCATCTTAGCAGCATGTTGTTCAGTGAATCACTTTCATGTTTTCAACTTTTATTTATACTTTCAGTTTATTCCATTTAACAAATGCTCCCGCTGAATGTTTAAAATGTTTACGTATTAGTCATTGCAAAGAAATAACTAGTGATGTACTTGAAAAACTAATTGAAGCCTGTCCTAAGTAAGTTATTATTGTGATTATGATTATTAGTATTACCTGTGATTTTCGTGTACAATCGCGACATCACAACGATCAATTTTTTCTTAAATTTCAGTTACCCTGATATATAATGATTTCCATGTATTGAAAACAATCAATCGTAGTATTTCACCGCATACAAACAACACTCAAAGGTCTCACACAGAATTTTACCTTGACTTAAAAATTAACATGACATTGACATTCATTTGTATTGGTTGTTGATATTTAGGGCTGCAGTCGATCAGTCTCTTTGGTATATGAAGCTGTGCGGATTCCATCGATATTGCTGAAGGGATTAGTCAATTGCCAGCGATAAACATCAATGGGAAGATTCAAACAGGCAATACAATTGAATTGTTCTTCACCACATTGCTCAAGCAGATGGCTGTCTGAACTCAGTGGCTAAGTGAATGACAGGATGGCGTTTGTAGCGAACGGTGCTGCGTTCCAGTCTCGGTGTAAACATCAACTTTAAAGTGTGACAGGTACATCCAGCTGACAGGCCCCAAATTCCACAAAACCCCTCCTGAACGGAATACACATATCAAAACACGTGTCCTAAATTCCGCTGCTAACCACCTCTGCTAAAACTGCGATTGACATATTCAAGCCTAATATGGTTTTTTATCGTACTAAAAAATATTCTACATTGTTTCCATGTTTTACTAATTAAACTTGTGTCAGCTTGATATCGACCATTTATTTTTTCAATTTTTGACCCTGAATAAGTGACTGGTATCAAGTCGTGAGAAATGCAAATTTCTACTTATCACTTATCTAACATTGAAAATGAATTACTTATGATTAGTCATTGTCATAATATTCCATTCATGTATATTACTATTTTCTTGTATTTAAACACCTTAAATTGTTGATTGGGCTGGGTTACTGCCCAAACGAAAACAGGTGTTTTTCTTACAGGTTCACTTATCGAAACTTTGAACGAAAAGTTTAATCCATAAGGGAGTGAACTTACGTGAAGAAATGCAATGCCATGTTAGTCGGTGACTAGTAGTGGGCTCATACGCCATTTGTCCCGTTAGGATTCTGAAGTCATTAGTATTCACTATCCGTCTTTTAGTGCTTCATTGCGTAAGTCCGCCACAGAGGACATAAACATAATCATAGGCAATTTAAAACCTGTGTATCGTTCAAATTACCAAATCATATCAGCACATCGAGATAAAATTATCAAGATCAATCCCATAGAAGTCATAGTGATAATAATAAAAGATACCAACAATGATTTGAGGCGAAGCAGTGAATTTGTGGAATACAAAGTATGAGTTCATTTTGAAACTTACTATCAAAAAGAAGACAGAGTGGGAACCGATTATGACTGTTGTAATGCTTGCTTAAATAATTTCCGGCTAAATCCTATTGCTTAGTATTTATTCTCTGACCACAATACACTGGACAAGTTCCAAAGAATCAAGAACACGGTGGAACAGGAAAAGATTATATTCCAAATAGCAAGGTTAAATGGAAATAAGAAGTCGAAGGCAATAATAGATACAACATTGGTTTCTTTATAGTATTTACATGAGAAGCTTCTGGATAGAAATTCACGTGATCGACTGAATTAGATTTAGCCAATCAGCATGCAACTAACAGTACGAGAATTTTCTACCGTATTCTCCAAGATTCGATCAGGTGCTGATTGGATAGGAAATTAGCCAATCATGCTTTAATTCCATCTATGTCTCACTAACAATGACTCATTTGGTCAAATGTTTCTAACCTTATTGGTCATAATAATTCCACAGACTTTAACCACGTGTTCTAAACATACATAGACTGATGTGCCATGTCTTCTTGTCAATCCTTTTTATCATACATAGTATACAATTTTTTTTATCTTACTTTTTCCATAGATTAACATTATTGTACGCTTATGGATTTGTTTCTATCAATGATTGGGGCTTCCTTCAAAAAATACGTCCAACTTTATTAGTTGAACGAGGTATTTAATTAACTTTATCAACAATCCAAATACATCAATAGATGAATAATGAGATGAGACGAGACAAGAAAACAATAGAAAATGATCCCATAACACATTGGGTGTGTTGATGCAGCTAGTAGTAGTATTATTATTAGTACGAGTAATGGATATGCGGTCAATGAGCTATTATTATTATTATTATTATTATTATTATTATTCATCTCTAACATATAACCAACCACCTACTTTATAATCAAATTATTCTTCATTCGATTTCTGTGTATAATTTTTTTGTTTTGTTTTGTCTTGTTTTTTTGATTTCATCATCTTGAATAAAATTGTTCTGTTAAATTATACTCAAATCATTAACTAAAAACAAATAAACAGCATATTCATTCGACAAATAATTCACATGGAAAAACGGATACTTTTGATACCAACAAACATACATAGAATCTACTACTACTTAATATTCATCAAAGCATTCTTTGTATAATGTTAAATAAAAAAAAAATGAATTATCTTCGATTCCGGTGAATTTGTTCAATGTTCAAAAAATTTTGTTTTTTTGATTTCATTCTACCCTTTTTGTGTGTGACTGTGTGTGTGTGTGTGTACTCCTCTTTTAATTTCTTTTTAAATGTTAAATAATCTGTAAAACTATTGATTATTATGTAGTTTCACAGTGGAAATTCTTCTTTTTTTTTTTACTTGTACAACAAACATGTCAGTGTAATAAGAATGAATCGAGTTCATGTTTAGACTATTTATTTAAACGTACAAACGAACGAACAAAAAAAATTGTATTGTTCATTTAATTCATTTCATTATTCATCTATTTGTGTTTACATGTTTGTTTGTCTGTTTGCATTCAATAAATATGCATTTTCTTTTTCATTTTTTTTCAGTTGTAATTCATTCATTCACCTTATCACACTCACCCATCATCATTATTATTATATAATCTCAGCTTCTTTTTCTTTTCTTCTAATTTATTTTTTCGGTGTAAGAAAATAAACTCACTGTTAATCTTGATTTATTATTATTATTATTATTATTATTATTATTATTATTATTATTATTATTATTATTATGATTGAAGAAAAAAGCAGGTGAAAATAATTTTGAAAAAAATTATCTCTAAAATCATTATGGTTTTTTGGATTAAATGTGTTCATTCAATAGAACACACATTAAGATCTTGACAATATTAATGTAAACATGATTGTTTGTTATAATTTTTTTGGTTTTCGCAGACCCCCCCCCACACTCCTTTATTTACTTATCCAGTGCATACAAAACTGTATACAATATTTTTTATTTCACTTTGACTAATGAATGATGTTTCATTTTGTGCTTCCTAACAACACTCAATCTCCTCTCGGCCAACTCTGAAGGGTGCTTGTTGACACTGTGGAAGTGCTTCAACAATATTGACACGTTAGTGTTTTTGAAATCAAGTGTATGTATAATTTTATTACAAATTTCATAATATAAAAAAGAAATACTTTTTTTTTAAAAAAATCTCAAACGTACTATTATTCTTTTTCTTTCACATTCATATTTGTACTTACTTTCTCTTGTTTTCATTTCATTTATTTCTTCAATGATAATTGGAACTAGAAAAATCATGAATTGTTTTTAGTGTTTTCTTGGTTATTCATTAAGATTGTATTATATATATATATTATAATAATACTAGTGACGAATTCTATGTTGATTCACTCTTACTGATCTATATCACGTATTTTTTTCTCTTATTCATTTCTCTTTTCCTCGTAGATTTTTCTAAAAAAGAAAAAAATTAAAATCAACTCATATACACACATATATTGCATAATTATTATTATTAATAACTAGCCGAATAACATGTTATTTTTCGTTTCTTTCGCCCAACTAACTCACTGTATCCAGTGTGTGTGTGCGTACTACATTGTACAAAATGTACAAATGTCTGTTTGTATACATTGAACTTTGACTTAGCCAGTAGAAGAACTTTTTCTTGTCATGTGTCAATATTTTGATTTTCTCTTTGCTTCCTTCCTTTCTTATAACCTGAATTCATGATTTTCCTTTGTGTAATCATCAATCACTGACGTTTTGAAAATAATATTTCTTTCTTGTTTGTTTGTTTTCTATATTCTCTCTGTCAAGTTTTGTTCAGTGTGTAACTCTGTGTGTGTGTGTATGTATGTTTTGTTCTGTTCTGTAATAGATTCTCATTCACTCAATCTTTCACAGTTTGAGTGTACACATGATGATGATGATGATGCTGATGATTAACATTTACAAATTAAGACATTGTTCGTATTATATACATATTAATAACATATTGATAAACAGTTTTAGTCTTTCGACTAATGGTTTTATTATTTTTACAATTGTTCTTGTTGTTATTATTATTATTATTACCATTATTGTTTCAAAAGTAAACTAATTTTTCGTTAGAAATATATCAGAGGAATAAACACAGAACAAAAAAAAAACAGCTTCCGAGTTGAAAAAAAAAGAAAATTTAGCTTTTCACATTGATTCTGTTTTGTTTTTTTTGCCCAGAATAAAAACAAACAAACAAACTTTCGTATTAAAAAATTGTTTAATGTTGTTGAAATAAGATGATAATGATGATGATGAATTTATTTTATACAAGTTTTGAAAATATTTTAAGATTTGACAATAATGGTTATTATTATTATTATTTGTTATAATAACTGGTGTTTGAGATGGTGAACGTGACTGTCGTCCGGAACAAACTGGCCACTTAAAAGCGAGAAGATAAGAGTTGAACAAAAGCACCATTTGTACAAGTTACTCGTTCTTATTTTTATATATATACTCCCATTATTTGCTTGGCGTGTCGACCGCTCCACTTATCTTGGGAGTTTCATCAGTGGTGATGGCGTTGTGATTGACGAAATCTCAGCGCGGATACAGAAGGCTCGATCGACTTTTACCAATTTATGGCGTAGGCGAAATATCCGTTTGCTAACCAAAGGACGAGTGTACTGCGCAGTAGTTCGCTCCGACCTACTTCATGGATGCGAAACATGGCCAGTGGTACTAGATATTCATAGGTTACTGGTTTTCGATCATAGGGGTCTCCGAAGCATTGTTCGTGTATCCTGAGACCTTCGAGTAGGCAATGTTGTCGCTAGGAGAGGGATACTAGGTATGGGTGACAGATCAATAGATGAAGTGTTGAAACTTCATCATTTGAGGTTTTTGGGACATGTTACGGATGCCCAAACACCGACTACTTTGACGATCTATGTTTTGTTGTCTAGGAGTCGGTTGGAAGAAAGCTAGGGGCGGCCAAATTACGAAATCACTGACATCTGTAATGATCCACGTTGATAGGTGCAGACCGTGGTTCGAGTCCGCGAAATCATTGTAACCAATGGTTAGAGACCTCGAAAGACATGCCTCATAATCGTTTATTTCATTGAATTATGCCTGTTGAATATTATCCTCGAACCGTAATCTATATTACCGCAAACACTTCTACTACTACTAACACTATATGATTTGAATTGACAATCGCATCGCTGTGCTAATGTGGTATCGTAACGTGAACTGATATACGTACGTATGAAGTTCTGCGTTGTAACTGACTGACTGATTATCATGTCCAATGATTGGAGACATAATTTGAAAGCGGCAACAGTATTCATCAGACATATTCAATTTTTGTCTACTCATTTAGATATCTTAAGTTTAAAAATTAATTTGTCCTTTTTTTATTCTCAAGATTAATTATTCTGGAATCATATTCTTTCGAAATCACCTTTATTTTTTCTTACTATCAAAGATACTACTACTATTCATACCATTTATTCGTTTACCTAGTACCTGTTTCCTAACAACAGCATTGTTTACTCGATATTCCCATGATAAACGAGTGATGCTTCTGAGGCATTTATGATCGAAAACCCGTAACCTACAAATATCTACTCTCACTGGCCATGTTTCACGGTCACAAATTAGGACGGAGCGATCTGTTGCGCATTAGACTCGTCCTTCGGTTATCTCGTCCTCTGGGCTGGGTGTTTTGGTTGTGGAGCTTTCACCGCTCTTCTGAACAACATCAGCACAAACTTCGCCTACGTCATAAGTGACGCAAGTTGGCAAAAACCAATCGAGCCTTCTGTATCCGTCCTGAGATTTCGTCAGTCACAAAGCCATCACCACTGATAAGACCCTCAGGATAAGTGGAGCGGTCGACATGCTTAACTACTTCACTTCTTATTACCTGTTCAGGTGCTGACTCAAGCCAATCCTGAAGCAATGTTTTGCATTTCGATGTCAGTCAGTTGCAACGTAGAACTACGTACGTATGTACATAAGTTCATGTTGCCATACCACATTAGCACAAAGACGCAGTTGTCAAATCAAATCCCATCGAGATAAAGATAGTAAAGGTATTAATGGTAATGAAGAAGACTAGGGTTCGAAGATATTATTCAAGAAGTATAATTAAGTGAAATAAGGTTAGAAACACAAAGGTAGAGGCGCTGACAATTTCAGAAGATTAGGATTTGAGAGAGCTCAAGGAATGGATGCACTTGCGCCATTGCAAACGATTTTGAGCCATGTCGTTGAAGGTCTCTAACCATTGGCGACTTTCGTCTCTCGGACCCCAACCAGGTGGTCTACATCTACCAACATGATTCAGTCCACTAGTCAGTGACTTCATGGATTTATGCCATGTTTTGGTCTAGCCGCCACTAGCTTTCTTCCAACCTACTCCTACACCACAAAACATAGCTCGTCGAGGCAGTTGGTGGTTAGGCATACGTAACACATGTCCCAACTACCTCAACTGATGAAGTTTCACCACTTCATCTATTGATCTGCCATTCTTACCTAGTACTCGTTTCCTAACGACAGCATTGCTCACTCGGTTGTCCCACTATATACGAGCAATGCTTCTTAAACATCTATGATCGAATACTAGTAACGTACGAACATCTACTCTTAACGGCCATGTTTCACAACCATATAGGAGAACGGAGCGAACTGCTGCGCAGTACACCCGTCCTTTGGTTAGCGAACGGATATCACGCCTACACCATAAGTGACGCAGGTTGGCAAAAGCCAATCGAACTTTCTGTATCCGCGCTAAGATTTCGTCAGTCACCAGGCTATCAGCGCTGATGAGACTCCCCCAAATAAGTGAAGCGATCAACACGCTCAACTACTTCACTCCCTATCACTAGTTCAGGTGCCGATGCAACCCAATCTTGAAGCAACATTTTGCATTTCGATGGGGAGAACCGCATCCCGTACATGCTTGGTGGAGTAAAAGCTCTCGCCGTTCGCGTCCCCAGCAGTCGTATAGACAGCATAACCCCCCAGCGATCTGTCACGCCCCTTGTGACCCAGGCCCGCTGAGGAAGCGGTTTAGCTTCGCCCCACGTCGCTCCTCATCGTCCCCCCCCTCCTTACTTTCGTTCCTTCTCTCCCTCCCCACGCACGGTATCCCCCTCTCCCCCCAGCTCCTGCTTCAGCCTGTAGCTTTACTGCAACAGATCGTCACCTATTTCCCCAACACCTTGCTACCCACACCCCCACACCTCACTTTCGCTTCG